AGGGAACTACTAGAAAGAGTCCAGCGAAGGGCAACAGAGCTGGAGGATGGATTGTAGCATTTCCCTTATGAGGAGAGACTGAGAGAGCTGGGACTCTTCAGTCTGGAGAAGAGAAGGCTGAGGGGAGACCTTATTAATGCCTACAAGTATCTCAAGGGTGGGTTGAAGGAGGATGGAGCCAGACTCTTTTCAGTGGTTCCCAGTGAGAAGACGAGGGGCAACGGGCACAAGTTGGAACATAAGAGGTTCCACTCAAATATGAGGAGAAACTTCTTCACGGTGAGGGTGGCAGAGCCCTGGCAGAGGCTGCCCAGGGAGGGTGTGGAGTCCCCTTCCTTGGAGATCTTCAAGCCCCACCTGGATGCTCCTGAGTAACATGCTCTGACAAGCTCTAGGCAATCCAGCTTCAGCAGGGGAGTTGGACTAGATGATCTCTATGGTCCCTTCCAACTCTAAAAATTCAGTGAAATTCAGTGAAATTCTGTGTGCGCCTTGGCAGAAGTGAGAAAAGAGAGTACGTGGTAGCAGAGAGGAACAACTAGCTGTTCCTAGGAAGAAGATCAATAGCTGCTATTGAAGAGGATAATACCAGTGCTATTTAACATCTTGGAGACATGGACGGTGGGATAGAGCGCACCCTCAGCAAGTTTGCCAACACCACCAAGCTCGGTGGTGCGGTCGACACGCTGGAGGGAAGGGATGCCATCACAGCCTTGAGAGGTGGGCTCGTGCAAATGGCATGAAGTTCAACCAAGCCAAGTGCAGGGTCCTGCACCTGGGACGTGGCAATCCCAGGCACAAATACAGGTTGGCACAAATTCAGGTTGGGCGGAGAATGGCTGGAGAGAAGGAGTTGGTGGTGGTGTTGGTGGATGAGAAGCTCAACACGAGCCGGCAGTGTGCACTGGCAGCCCAGAAAGCCAACCCCATCCTGGGCTGCATCAAGAGAAGTGTGGCCAGCACGGCCAGGGAAGTGGTTCTGCCCTTCTACTCTGTGCTCGTGAGACCCCACCTGGAGCACTGTGTCCAGCTTTGGAGTCCTCAATGCAGGAAGGACGTGGACCTGTTGGAACAGGTCCAGCAGAGGGCCATGAAAATGATCAGAGGGCTGGAGCACTTCTCCAGGACAGGCTGAGAGAGTTAGGGCTATTGAGTCTGGAAAAAGAGCTACAGGAGAGCTGGGGAGGGACTCTTTGTCAGGGAGTGCAGTGACAGGACAAGGGGGAACGGTTTTAAATTGGAAGAGGGGAGATTTAGATGAGATCCCAGAAAGAAATTCTTTGCTGTGAGGGTGGTGAGACACTGGAACAGGTTGCCCAGAGAAGCTGTGGCTGCCCCATCCCTGGAGGGGTTCAAGGCCAGGCTGGATGGGGCTTGGAGCAACCTGGTCTGGTGGGAGGTGTCCCTGCCCAGGGCAGGGGGGTTGGGACTGGATCATCTTTAAGGTCCCTTCCAACCCAAACCATTCTGTGATTCTATAATAGAAATCCAAATTACTGTTTTAACATCTGGTAGTTCTAGTACTGAGATACAATAGAAGTGCTTGTATTCCCTACTTTGGTTTTAAACGAGTTAGAAATGCTTAAAGCTGTCATTATTCTTACTGTATATTGTATTTATCTGTAGAAAGTGAAATTGGAAAGGCATTTTAAGTTGTCAGTTTCCAGCGATAGCACTCATTTGCAAATCTGCAATGTATTCTATACTTTAAGTATAGCTGTCTTGAAATGTCATTGTTTAAAGGGGCTAAATAGGTCAATTGAGGAAAAAAAAAGTGGTAAGAGTGGTAGGAAAACAAAAGTACGTACAGGGAGTGCACAGAGTCATACTTCTCGTGGTGAAAGCTTTCTCTAGAGTGGTGACAGACACCCTCAACCCCCCCAAAATGTAGATGATGTTCAGGCCGTGAAGGAACGAAGTATCATGAAAGAGAAGGTGGCTTTCCTTGCCCATCTTGACTGAAAAAGTTTAAAGAATTCAGTTTTGTCGTGTACGGATCGCTGTCACACACTTGCTTTTTTGACAGCTGGACAAGCCTGGCAAGCAACTCTGGATTTAGGTATCTGCTAGTCAATTAACATTTCTCCTGGAAGGCGTTTTGACTGGTGGTGTGCAAGTTTTAATTACGGAATTAGCCAAAAAAAATTCCATTAATGGACATTTGTTCATTCGTTTCTGATAATTAAAGATCTTCCTGCCTTTTCGGTAAGGCACTGGTGAGGCCTCACCTTGAGTACTGTGTCCAGTTTTGGGCCCCCTACCATAAAAAAGACATTGAGGTGCTGGAGCGGGTCCAGAGAAGGGCGACAAAGATGGTGAGGGGTCTGGAGAATAAGTCTGATGAGGAGAGGCTGAGGGAGCTGGGGGTGTTCAGCCTGCAGAAGAGGAGGCTGAGGGGAGACCTTATTGCTCTCTCCAACTCCCTGAAAGGAGGGGGTAGAGAGGTGGGGGTCGGTCTCTTCTCTCAAGTCACAGGCGACAGGACAAGAGGAAATGGCCTCAAGTTGTGCCAGGGGAGGGTCAGGCTGGATATTAGGAAAAATTTTTTCACTGAAAGGGTTCTCAGCCCTTGGAATGGGCTGCCCAGGGAGGTGGTTGAGGCCCCATCCCTGGAGGTGTTCAAAAGACGGGTTGATGTAGTGCTGGGAGGTCTGGTTTAGTGATGATGCTCCTTGTTTGTTGTGTGGGTGTCTATTTTTGTCAGTGAGGTTGACGGTTGGACAAGATGATCTTTAAGGTCCCTTCCAACCTAGAAGATTCTGTGATTCTGTGATTCTGTGTTCACCAGGAAGCCCTGCAGTAACTTAAAAGAATTCTTCATTTCTTAATATACTGACTGTTTCCAGCAGGGTGGTGCGTTTTTCCCCACACAAGCTTTGCCCAGTTGGTTGTTATTTCAGGAGTGGTCTGCTCCAGAGCAAAGGGTGTGTTTCTCTTTGAGGACACTTCACGTGCCCTGTACCAAACCCGAGGAGTTTAAGGGGTGCAGTGTGAACCTCTGGGTCTTACCCTTTTCTCTTGGCCTCTCTTTTACCAAAATGCTTGTTTTTCTTTAGTGTAATGATTGATTGTGGGAATCCGGGAGAAGGGAAGAGCTCTTCCAGTCTTCTGCTGTTGTCCTTCACAGGGCAATAATGTTCCAAATTGCCATTTGCCCGTGCAATGCTTCTTTCAGAAGCTTTGTCCTTGTTTTCAGTGAGCAAGATTGCCATCTTCTGAGAATTTGTCCCGTGTTTAAGTAAAATGGAAAACCTTATACTCTTTAAGTCTTGGAAGGACCTCTAGGAGAGCAGTTACTAGCTCAGGAGAAGGAATTCTTTTGTCCACTGAAACAGAGGAATGTTCACAGAATCTTCTAGGTTGGAAGGGACCTTAAAGATCATCTTGTCCAACCGTCAACCTAACCGACAAAAATAGACACCCACACAACAAACAAGGAGCATCATCACTAAACCAGACCTCCCAGCACTACATCAACCCGTCTTTTGAACACCTCCAGGGATGGGGCCTCAACCACCTCCCTGGGCATGTTCTCAGGGCATCTGCGTGGGCAGAAGATCCAGTGAGGATTCATTTATGGGGGGACCAAGACTCAAACCCTCTCTTAAGTGAGACTTGGCAGAGACTTAGCCCTGGTTCAGCCAATGTAGACACCCAGCTTCTCACTCCTTTCAGGGTTAGGCGAGGAGCCTTCATGGCTTTTTTAATTCTGTTAATGTGTTTCAGTGGAATTGCAGATATTTTTTGACCTGGAATGAAGATGCAGAAGTGGATCTGTATGTTCAGCTTTCAGGTGCTGAGTTCTGCAGGCTTCCTCTGAGCTTTTGTAGGCAGTGTCAATCACAGTGCCTGCAGTGCCTCACAACGAGCAACCACTTTTGGAGCAGTGCATAGGAAATATTAAAGATGTATTTACATATTCTCTTGAATGCCTGGGCTTTTTGGTCTTTATTTGGTCTTGCATCTCTTGTACCATTCTCTAAAGTGTTTTTAATTGAGTACAGGAGTAATATTGGCTTCCAAAAATTCAGATGAGGGACCACTGTATCTTCTTACAGGTTGCCCAGGGAGGTGGTGGAGTCTCCTTTCTTGCAAACCATTGTAAAAAGCCTGTTGTTGCAGGTAAAGATGCAGAGGTACCAAATAGGCTGTTTTTTGTTTACTTTGACTTTCTTCTGGTGGGAAGAGAAACAAACAGTCCAAATTGAGTACAGGAGTAATATTGGCATCCAAAAATTCAGATGAGGGACCACCACATCTTCTTACAGGCTGCCCAGGGAGGTGGTGGAGTCTCCTTCTCTGGAGACACTCCAAACCCGCCTGGACACATTCCTGTGCTAGGAGGAGCTGCTTTGGCAGGGGGTTGGACTAGATGATCTCCAGAGGTCCCTTCCAACCCCATATCATTCTGTGATTCTATTGCTTGGCCAAGCCACAGGCTGCCAGTCACTGTTACAGGTTAATATTTTAGACCTTCTTGAAAGGAGATGTTTGCTGTGCGTTACCCTTTTGTATTAAGTAGCAAATTTATTCCATCTTGTATGGAATATTTTTTTCCATCCAAATCTTGTATGCTGTCAAACTATTCTTTGGTACAGCAAGGAAGTATGTAAAGACTTCTGGGAGGTATGGTTTAGTGATGATGCTCCTTGTTTGTTGTGTGGGTGTCTATTTTTGTCAGTGAGGTTGACGGTTGGACAAGATGATCTTTAAGGTCCCTTCCAACCTAGAAGATTCTGTGATTCTGTGACAATGTCATATCTCAGCTATTTGTAAAACCTTTCTTTTATACCTATTCTGCAATAGAATTTGCTTAAAACTTTACTCTTAAAATTTAAAAGAAAACCAGTGCCTATTACTGAAATGAACTTTTATTTTGTCCTTAAGGCAAAGATTCAAAGTCTGAAGGAATCAACCCCTCTCCAGTATCTTTGGTACCGGAAGAGAAGGTTTCTTTTGGTCTCTATGCGCTGTCAGTTTCTTCATTTACCGTGGCAAAAATAAGGAAAGTTTACAACAAGTTGGATAGTAAAGCCATTGCCAAACAGGTATGTTGGGAAACGAGTTGGTTAATGTGTACATCTTGTTTGTTCCTTTCTTTTAACTTCTTTCAAGGCAATTTGTTCGATGCAACCAGGAACAGCAACATACTTGTTGGAAGAGTTGCCCATATCCACTTTCAGATGTAAAACAAAAAAATACAAAAAAAAAAAAGAGGGAGATTGTAGCCTGAGATTTTATTTGCATTACTAGTAGCTATGTATTTTAGCACCTTTTGGAGGTATTTTTGCTTTTTAATGTAGATGGCAGTTGTAATCCTTTAGCCCCTGTTTTTTTTTTTTTCTTGTTTTCTTCAGCTGGCTATTTCTTCTCATGAAAATGCCACACCTGTGAAGCTGCTGCATAACTCAGCAGGGCATTTGAATGGACCAGCGCGCTCCATTGGTGCAGCTCTGATAGGATATTTGGGTGAGCGGAGCACTTGAGAATTATTACATTTAAAAATTATTAATTATTTGTCAATAAAAGCTTAGGTCTAGAAGATAAATCATGTCGTTGATGAATGTTAATGGTACATTGTTAAATTTATTTAATGTTTTTATGTTATATAGACTTTTTTTTTTACTAACATGGGATGCTTGTTTCAGTTTCTATGAGTTATAGTTATGAAAATATACTTAATTACTCTACCTTAGGTCATAAACTATTTTCCAGCGCAGTATTTCCTTCACCTCTTCTTCTGCGTTGTCATAGTTCTTCTAATGATATTATTTTCATAATTCAAGCAATGGCTAGAATGCAAATTGTATGGATTCACATTGATTTTCTGCAAGAGTTAGACTTGCTGTTATTTAAATTTATATTCTCTGCCTATGCCCAGGAGTGAGAACGTTTGTCCCCAAGCCTGTTGCCACCACGCTGCAGTACATCGGTGGAGCTGCGGCTATTTTGGGACTTGTAGCCATGGCATCAGATGTAGAGGGCTTGTATGCAGCTGTGAAGGCTTTGGTTTGTGTGGTGAAGAGCAATCCACTCGCCAGCAAAGAAATGGAAAGAATCAAAGGTTATCAGGTAGGTAAGAAATGTCTTCAAAGAGAGCAGGCTGATTGAATTGCGCTGTCTCTCCTGGTAGTTCCAGTGGAAATTCCTTGTTCTGGTGTAATAACCTGAGTTTCTGTTCTTAATTTTTACTAAGCTCTTGGCTAATAAGCATAGATAGTTATTTAGGGCGGTTTTTAAAGGAGAGGGTGGAAGGTTTTGCTGAGCAATTGTCCGTCTTTAGCTGCTTTGCTGAAACTGAGCCTTTATTAATAGCAAGGAAGAGCCCAACTGTGGCACTTGGATGATTCTTTTCCCTTGATTGTGAACCCACTCCTGCAAACCAAACTGGGAGGAGTGGCTGACACCCCGGAGGGCTGTGCTGCCATCCAGCGAGACTTGGACAGGCTGGAGGGCTGGGCAAAGAAGAACCTCATGAGGTTCAACAGGGAAAAGTGTAGGGTCCTGCACCTGGGGAAGAAGAATGTCAGGCACCAATACAGGTTAGGGGTGGACCCGCTAGAGGCAACTACTGAAGAGAAAGATCTAGGGGTCCTGGTGGACAGTAAAATGACAATGAGTAAACAGTGTGCTCTTGCGGCCAGGAAGGCCAATGGTATCTTGGGTTGTATAGGGAAGAGTGTAGCCAGCAGGTCAAGGGAAGTCATTCT